TTGAAATGCGTAGGGACAGCCCTCGAGCCGCAGGACGTGACGTTGGGCACAGCAGAGCGATAGCGAGGGTTCAGTTCGGCGCTCTGTATGTAGCACAGCCCGACGCGCCGCTGCTCACCTCTCACCCCACAGCGGTCGCATCTGGTCCAGTCCCAGAAGGTGGTGAAGAGGCTGAAGAGCTCCTCTGTGTAATCGTCCTGGACATGCTGGCCTCTGTCCACAAAAGCCACCACGATGTTCTTGGTGGGCTGCACGTCCACGTCATAGCCATAGAAGAAGTCCCCTTTCTCAGTGCCGCACAGGTAGTGGCCCGAGTCCGTCACCTGGGCTTGGAAGACAATGAGACTGAACATCCGGATACTGAAACGCTTCAGCACGCTGCTGCCAGCCCGGATATGGCCTGAGTCAACAGTCAGGGTGCCAGCAAAGTCGCTCAGGACGGTGGTTTTGTGGGTGTTCATGTCCTTCTGGAAGTACCAGACGACGGAAGAGACCTCTTTGGGCTTGCACTTGCACGGGAGCTCGAAGGTCATGCCAGCCAGGTAAGCGGCGCTGTCAAACATCAGGAAAGCTGGACAAGCCATACTCTTGAACACATCTTCTTTCTCTTCAACTGCAAAAGCGTGGAGAACGTCTACCAGGCAGAGGAGAAGGACGGCTCGTGCCAGCCCTGCCTCCATCGCGCTGGGCCGTCTCCGCAGTCAGCAGAACCAGCCCGGCCGCCGCGTCCTCAGCAGCGACAGCAGCGACCCACGCCTGGGGTCAGCAGTGATGCCACCAGCCAGGGACCACGCACACATCAGCTCGCTCGCCAAAGATGGGGCTTGCAAATGACCCCCCGCCCGCAGCGCGCGAGGCTGGCAGCGGAGATCAAACAGTCGTCGCCTGGGACACGGGTTCTAGAACCTCTCCTCTGTCCCAGCTGCCCCAGACCACTGCTGTCCGTGCCCTGGACAATGAGTGGGCGGTTGTTCACGCAGCAGAGGGAAGATGCAGCCATGCAAAGCGTGGTGGGAATGAGGGAACCGCTGATGTCTTCTTTAAAGACTCATGGGCAGTAAATGCTAATTATTGCTCTGACCCCCCTAAGCGCAACGAACCCGGAGAAGACCCTCCTCTGCTGGCAGGTGACCTCCGTAGCCCAGGAGAAGAGGTTTCAAACACACTATTTAGACTTCTACATCGTCCCTGTAGGATTTCCAAGGGTTTGTGTGCTGAAGGTGTCCTGCCCCTGCCCCAGGTAACGTTTCAGACTCCCCGCCATGAGTGACAGAGTGAGGCTTTTCGTTCCCATCACCCTTGCCGGGGCTGGTGCTGGAACCAGCCCTGGAGGCCCTAAACACCTCTCTCCCACGGTGAAGGGGAGCTATTCGCTCCCCGCTGACCCCAGCTGGCCCTTCCGCTCAGCTTTTGGCACTTCTTCAGCAGATGCTCAGACCAAACCATGAGCTGAGTGATTGGGAGACTGATCCCAGCTGGCCTCACAGCCTGTCCTCCTCACACAACCTCTCCTGTACTTTATTTAGAATCATAAAATCATATAATAGTTTGGGCTGGAAGGGACCTTTCAAGGTCATCTAGTCCAACCCCTCTGCAATGAGCAGGGACATCTTCAATTCAGTCAGGTTGCTCAGAGTCCCTGGGTACCACGTCCCAGCGGCAACGGGACGCAGCACTGCCCTAGCAGGACAGACCAAATGCAAACCCAGTTGGAGTCACTTCTTGGCTCAAAACAGCTCTCTCCATGAAAAGAAAACAGGGATTTTTATCCATTTCTTCTGCCTTCCACTTCCTGTTGCCAGGAGAGGTGAACCACGCTGTGATGTCACCGTGATGCAACGCAGGCATCACGGTGATGCTGGAGAACTTCCCAGACGCCGGCGCCACAGACCTTCATCCTGCTGACCAGCAGGAGCAAGCCTGGCTGGTCAGGGAAAGGGCCACGGCTGGTTGCAGCCAAGGTATGGAAAAACAAATTACAATGGAGTCATCTTCACCAGAGGCATCCTGGGCTTCCGGCTCGGAGGAGACAGGCTGGTGAGCGGCTTCACCTTCTCCCGGCCACCCAAGAGGGGATGCGGGAGCATATTGGGATGCTGCCACCAGACCTCTACCAGAAGAACACGCCCTGCGAGCGTTGCCTGATGAATCCTGGGTCCCCATCATGCAATTTTGTTTCTGGGAGGAGATCTCTGCCAGCACCAACCAGGCTTCAGCCTGCTCCTTCCTCCAGAAGCTCTGGAAGATTGTCGGCAGCCATCGCCAGGGGGTTTTGCCTTTCCCCGTGCAATGGCAGTGAGCAGGCTGCTCCCATCCTTGACACAGGACGCGGGTGCAAGGCCCGAGCCTTGGCACTGCTGAAAGCGCTGTGGCTTTTCCCACCAGAGCTGTAACTGCTGTGCCAGGGCTGTTCCTGCATCAGCATCCTCCGTCCTGGCCTTGGGAAACTCAAGGATCTTCGCTGTTTTCTTTCAGAATTCAGCTCTCAGCTTTCTGCTAGTCCTCAGGTTTGCAAGTGTTACGCAAAGGCAAGGGGAATGGCACCCACAACAGGCTGCAGGGACACAGATGTCCCCAAGACAGACTCCACAAAGCCCAACATTCGAGCACCGGGCCTCAGAGAATAACTGATTAGGTGCCCAGTGGCTTCTGCAGAGAAGCTGGGAGAGGGATGGTTACAGGCTGCCAGGGTGACTCTACCCTTTGCTCCTCTGGCTGGGTTTTACAACAAAACCGACCAGAGAGTTGTTTCTGAGCTGAATTCAAGGGAGTCTGAGCACTGTAACAGCCATCAGGCTCCTCAGCACGCTTGCGAGACGCTTGAGGATCCTTCCAGACCGGACCTGCAAGGGAGCTTGGTGGGTAGGTGCTGAGCTGTGCAGTCTGAGGGCCTCTCCGCAGTCTGCAGCCAGACCAGAAAGGCCAGTCGATGAAGACACAGTATTAGACAGTCCTGGGGAGACTCTGTTGGACCGACGCCTGTCCGTTCCTTCTAAATCTCACTTTATGTGGAATTTCAGCGAATCAGACAGTGTCTGAGATCACAGGAGCACGAGCTGACGGGATCTCTGAGGATCACCCCGTGCCTTGCTGGCTGGGGTAGGACAATGATGAAGCGGCTGGGTGGCTCGGTCCCAGACACACCGCCCTGCACAGCATCCCCACCTCCACCAGCCCACTCCACCTGCAGTGGCTGCACGCTTCAACACAAAGCCTCACTGATGACATTTCTTAAAACCCCACAGTGACGCTGCACAAAGATGAAAAAGGGAAGGGAATATCTGGGTCCTGATTTCTCTCTCAAAAATACCAGCCTAGTTTTGCTTTCCCTCGCCTCTTCTCCTCATCTAAGAGATTGTGGAGTCTCCTTCTCTAGAGAT